TGCACGACAACACATCCGACAACAGCCGTCGACGACCCACATTGTGAATGCAGCTGGACAAACGTGGCTGCCTCGGTGCACTCGTCCCCACCCGGCCCTAAAGCTAGGTTCTATATGCAGCCACCGGGCAAAACGCATCCATCTATACGCAGCCATTCCTGGCTGCGAACATCCAGATTCAGGAGCTCGATCCTATCCTTTTTGCTAGTGGGACCTTGGCCCGGGGGTAGTGGTGGTCTAAAGGTGGTAGCCCGTAGCATTATTGTGTCAATCTGATTCCATCTGGACTGGAACGTCCACCTCTGGCAAAAAGAGGCTTGGAGGTAGTGGTGGTCTAAAGGGTCTAAAGGGAGAGACGGTTAACAGAGGCCTCAATTTTTTAGACCACTTGTCGGGCCATTTATAACAAAACCCAAGGGTCATTTTAACCAAAAAATACTAACTGCTTACAAAAAAAAACATGCAAAAAAAAAAAAATTGAAAAAAAAAAACTTTAAAAACCTATAAAAGGAGCAAGGCAAAAGTGTGTGGGGGTCCCTGTTAACCGTTTATGTCTAAAGGTGGTAGCCAGCAGCATGACTATTATTATTTTTATTTTTTTTTCTTTTCTTTTAAAAAACAAAGCTACATTCTTCTCTCAATTTCACCTCGCACTACCTACCTACCACTACTAATTGTACGCATGTGTCAATGCGATTCCATCTGGACTGGAACCCATGATGTCCAGATGGAATCCCATGATGTGTTTACAAACTGTTACGTGGGTGTGCCTTTAAGCCACGGGGTTTTCGTCATGGGGGCAACCTACAAATTTGCACGTCCTCCTGGCAAATAGATTTTGAGTGCTCCCAGGGGCAAGGTCCCACTTGCACGGACTAAGAGATTTTGGGCGTTGATCTCCGTTATCTACGGCCACTGTCAGTGCAAGTGGGACCTACCTTCTTCCCCTGAATACAACGTATATGGTCATTATAGCTGAATTTCAAGTCTCTTTCAGTCCGTCGCCCCTTTTTTTTCCCTGTAGGTTGTATTCGGGGGAAGACGGTAAGGCCCAGTTGGGTGATTCTGTGCTCTCACCTCCTCCAGGCCGTCGCCCCTTTTTTTTTTTTTTTTTTTTTTTTTACATTCTTGAGAAGAAAAGGTATAAGGGAAAAGTGTTACAAGAAAGAAATGCATCTGTCCAAATGCAATGCATATGGCTGCCACAGCCCGACCGACCCCCACAACTGCTCACCAGTCGAGTGGTGGGGAGCGGAATTGAGCTTTAGGGGCAAGTAAGGCCTAAAAAAAAAAAAAAAAAAAAAAAAAAAAAAAAAANAAAAAAAAAAAAAAAAAAAAGGCCTAACCCGCTTGGCTCTAAATTCCTCAAAGATTTCCCTGATTAGGTCACATTCAATGGGGCCCAAAATTGAGCTTTTAGCGGTTTCCAAAAAAAAAAAAAAAGAGCTTTTGGCAAATACGGTCCTACCCCCCCTGGCTCTGTTTTCCTCCCTCAAGATTTCCCTAACTGGGCAGACCAGTGGAGGGCAAAATTGAGCTTGGGGCAGATAAGGCCCACCCCCCTGGCTGTCATTTCCTCAAAGATTTCCCGAATCTCTACGCTCTGGCTGCTGCGAAGAGCTATCTCTACGCTCTGGCTGCTGCAAAGAGCTATGTCTGTGTGTTGTGGCTGCTGCAAATGCTTGCCTGTGTGTTGTGGCTGCTGCAAATGCTTGCCTGTGTGTTGTGGCTGCTGCAAATGCTTGCCTGTGTGTTGTGGCTGCTGCAAATGATATGCTGATATTCCCCACCAGAAGGGAGGAAAGCACTAACTACGGGCCTCGCTCCACTACTCTCGAAATTTGCAAAACGAGAGTGAATCTTCCGCTAGAACATGGAAAGATACACCGCTATGATGTTTGTCTTTTGTGCATGTGGAGAATAGTGGAGCGACGGCCTTGCGACGGCCTATGTTTCTGCTGTTCGAGGGGGCTTGGGCATCATCAAGGCTCTGCTGGCTGCAGCGAGGGACAGTCCAGTCAAGCGGCATTATACTTATCCTGGGTGAGAGGCTTGAGCAAAAGAGCCTCAGGCCTCTGTTCCCATTGTCCATGAACCTTGCCACTCACTATATGGCTCTTGTTCATGCCTCATTACAATAGGGAGCTGTGGGCCAGTGGTGTCATCATTCGCCTCATTACTCATTTTCATAATCCCCTGCAGAATGATTTCCTCCAGAATAAGAATAACATGGTACCTCTTTCCTTTCCTTTCCTATAAAGAACATCTGATTACAAAACGGAGCTGTGGGGCAGTGGCCTCCGTGCAAATGATGCAAACCATGCAGAGAAGGCTGCCGGTGGTATACCCCCTGCACAAGGATGACACACACAAATGGAGAAATGTCTGAAATAGTCCAGAGTTAAAAAAAAGAAAAGAAACAAAAAAAAGAGCGTCAATGGCACTATTTGAAACGAGCCTCAATGGCACTATTAGCCTCAATGGCACTATTTGAAACTGTAAGAGGCAAAAACGACACGAATGGGGGAAAAAAGAGCTGCCACCAAACTCAAAAAGGGAATGGAAGTTAAAAAAAAAAGAAAAAAAGGCAATGGAAGTGCTGCGCGCCGCCGTTGGTAATTTTTCATTCGTTTACTTTGCTGTAGTTATGACACCCGGCCTGGACCATGGGGCGCGGTGCTTTCATCGCGGGAGTTCCTCTTCATTCATTGCCAGAGTTCCTCGACACTTAACCACTCGTCGTCTTTATTATTCTTTATTATTCCAGAAGATATGGTTAAACCACCAGTATACTTCCTCAAGTTGTGACTGTTAACAAGCCACAGTTTTACGAAACGTACGGGCGACTTCAGGAGCGGCCAAATTCATCCGAGTAGAAATGTTTCTACTCTTATTTTCTCCGTGGCTGATAGCTGGGCCAAGTACTGGTGGGTTAATCTTTATGAACTCTTCTTTTGTGACCCATGTAAACCAGCGATGATGTGGTCTCACCCATGAGGTAGGGTCCATGGAAGGTTGTCTTCCTCTCTTGTAAATGAGTTTCCCTAGTGATGGCTGTTGCAAACTTGTACTTATGGTTTGGGTTTATGCGATCTGTGGGGGGAGGGGGGAAATCTCTTCCAGCTTCTGATAAGGCGGCTTACCGTCTTCCCCCAAACACAACGCACCCTCATTTTGCCTGCACCTGACTGGAAAAGGAACTTGTATACACTCGTTCTGGTTCTGGGGCTGCGTTGTGTTCGGTGGAAGACGGTAGTAAAGGATGGTTCCTTGGTTTTCGGAAGAGAGATTGAACCCTCTGGGTCGCATCTTTCTTTCGGGTCTTTGGGCTCCATTTCTTCGTTCATTACCCCCTACACCCCCCCCCCTCTCCCTGTCTCTTATACACATCTAGATGTGTATAAGAGCGCGGAACAAGCTGGCCATGTTAGGTGGAGAAGAGTATCCAGGATCTGTTGCCATCCTCATCTTCTTCTTGTTTGTTGTTGAACTTGGACCTCTCTCTCCCTCTTTTCTCCCTCTTCCTTTCTTTCTTTTCCCTCCGGTTCCTTGTGGAGAATGGCTAAATTCATTATATGAACTTAGCGTCACTAACAGGGCGGATACAATGTAAGGTGCAGGTGTCCTTGAAGGCAATTGGGTGTGTCACAGAATCGTCGCTGACCTTGCATCACTCAAATTACAGCTGCAGTGAGTCATTCCCATTTCACCAGAACAGCACAGTCATTGTAAAATACTCGTATTTTATGAATATCCTTGTCATGATATCTATGCATCGGTGTGGGAAAGGGGTTGCTGTGGTGATTATTTAAAAATTAAAACGCACGATGCCTGTGTCCGCTTCATGACGCCGCATATGCTTCTTCATCAGGCGAGATAGAGAATGCTGCGATTGCCATGATGTTTGGCAGATCTATGCATTTTGATTGGTGTCCATCGCTACATCGCCGACCATGGAAACAGACAGACGAAGGCGGTTCGAAAACAGAGAAACGAGATGAAAAAAGAATGAAACAAGTTACTGCAGCACAAAGAACAAAACACAAGATAAAAACAATCCTATAAAAAAAAAAGGAACAAGGAGAGAGGAGGAGAGATTTCTGTCCGGGTCGTTCGACCAACGTGCAGACCTGAGTTCAAATCCCCTGGATGAACAGAACCAAATTCCGAATTACTTAAAAAAAATAAATAAATAAAAAATAATAATAATAATAGTAATAAATTTCGAATTACCTGGGGCTCTTCACTTCAAAGAGAATAAGATCTCAAGGCCGGCCGTTACCTTTGTAGGGAAAAGAGAAGCATCACCGACCCAAAAAAAAAAAAAAAAAAACGAACTGAAAAGACAGACAAAGACAGTTGAAAACACAGAAAGGAGATGAAAAAATGAAAGAAGTTGGTTGTTAGATGAAGACGGACCAAGACAAAATAAACGAGAGATGTGACGTTGCCCCGCATTCCACCATTCACCAATTGCCAGAATGGTGAGTCTAATCTTGCAGCAAAACGTGACTAGATACATTTGTCACTCTTACATTTGGCGAGTGGCGAGGAGAAACAAAGGGGCCTATGGGACTGTGGGACTGTGAAACCGCAGCTCACCCAGCAGCCAAAAACTGAGACTCCTCATCAGTTTGACACTACTGACTACTTTTGGTAATAATGGTGACCCAAGGACCCATGGGAAGGAGAGGGGGGACCGCTTCAGCTGGGACTTCTCGGGCAAGCAGTGTGCGCACTGTGTGTTGGGTCCAATGCATCTGACCCGCATCCAAATGAGAGATGAGGACTGTGTTCACAAACTGTCGAGTCCAGTGCCCAACGTAACCGTCTTCCTCGAGTAGGACGTACTACAGTGACTACAACTGTATTTGGGGCACAACTTTAGTCTAGATGCTGCAATAATGACCGTACATTCTATGCGGCGGAAGAATGCAGACGGATCTGAAACAGATCTGATACAGGGTGCTCGCTAATCAGGTTGCTTGATTGTCGTAATGCCAGGCTCACTCTTATCTACAACTTCAACGCAAGAGCGACTACCAAATTGATGTAATAGGGGAGAATCCCAACTTGTGCAGACTTGGTTGTGAAGACAGCCTTTCCCAAGAAGAAGAGTAATTAAAGCTGAAACTGCCAACGTCTTCTGTAATAGCAAGAGATGGTAGCGTGCTGCTGAGTACTCTACGGGCGACCTATCACATTACAACAGGCAGGGGGAGGGGAGAGGGAGGAGAGGGAGGAGAGGGAGGAGACTCGATCTGGCTGCCTTGGCAACTGCCGGAACTCGACTGTGGTAGTCAGTTTATCTATCTGATAAGGTCGATTTGACGGTTGCTGGAAGTTTCTTGGGGCGCCGAGGAGAGGGGAGGGTGAGGGGGAGGGGGAGGGGGCGGGGGGGGGGGGGTTGCGAGGGGGTAGGGTCTTCGTCACTGACATCTGTGGATGGGTGGCTGTGGGAGTAGCTGTTATTTGAAGAGATCAGGGGATGTATATGGTCGCATTGCTGACAGGAACTGGCGGAAAGTACGAAGGAGTCTTGATGCGCGGGTCTTGCATGTGGCTGATCGGGACATGGCCATTGTACACTATTGTTATGGAGATTCCTTTGGCTAGCAAGTGATTGGCTGCTTGCATGCGTGTGTGTGATTCACAATTTGCCTCAGACGGTCGTGTGGCTGGCAGCAACAAACTGGTTTCTGGGCTGTGGGAAGGAGCGTCGTTGAATTTTGGTTGACTTTGACTGTTGAGTCTTGACCAATGCAGTTACGCTTTTGGTCAGTCCAGTTACGGATTCCTTGTATAGGTCTTAGAGTCTTTGACATTTGTGTCTGTGTAGGTCTGCTCTGTGGGTGTATAGCTGTCGCTGAAGAAGACCTGTGGAAGGATTAGGGTTGGGATATCAGGTCTGGAGGCTCGTTTGTTCAGGAAAAGCCCGCGACTGTAAATAGCAGTGTCCAAAGTATGTGTATGCCTGTTTCCCTTGGTGTTCGTTTGCTGTACTCGATAAGTGGTTAATCTTAGTTCCAGCCTTGCTGTTCTAGACTGAAGTCCTACTCCTCTTGTATACTGGATAGCTCGAGAAGCTGCACTGTGCATTTGCAGTGCACGTAAGAGAACATCCGTTGTGTAATTTATCGCTTTCCTAACGATGATGAGCTCTGTCAGAGAGGAAACCGCTCCGCCCTCATTGGTGATGCGGGCGCCGGAAGAAACAATGGATGCTTTGGAAAGCGGGAGCCAGTGCCGTGAGCAGCAGGTAGCCTCTGCGGAGTCTGAGCCGAGAACGTCTTCCTCGTCAACCTTTGGCTGGGACAAGGAGATGATCGTTCTCACATTCATCGTCTCCATCGTAGCTCTTGCTGTTGCCGGCCTGGTGTTCTTTCACGGAGATATCCGGATTGCGATTACCGGGCTGTGGGACCCAGTTCTGCAGTCCTCTGGCTCGCAGATTCTCATGATGCCTTCGCCCTCGCCTCTGCAGGAGGAGGGCCAAGCGTTTGGTTCTGAGCTGGCCAGACCTATGCGCACATGGCACCTGACGGAAGAGGATGCGCGGTTCGTGGTGGTTTCTGAGCAGCCGTTGTTGCCTCCGTCGCCTGCCGGCGAGCAGCTGCCATTCGTCGTGCTGCACGGTATTGGGGACCAGTGTTCCAATCCTGGGTTAACGAAGTTTGTGGAGACCTTGAATAGTCAAGTCCCAGGTGCCAATGGACTGTGTTTGACCATAGGCAATGGAGCGGCGGACTCGTGGACGATGCCGTTGAAAAAGCAGGTGGATCTTGTGTGCGAGTCCATCAAGCAGCATCCTCAACTGAAAAACGGTTTCAATATCGTGGGCCTCTCGCAAGGAAACCTTATTGGGCGCGGATACGTGGAATGGTGTGCAGACGGGCCGCCTGTCAACAACTTCATCTCCATTGGCGGGCCCCATGCGGGGACGGCGGCGGTCCCGCTGTGTACCAACATGTACTTTTGTCGTTTTGTGGACCTCTTGCTTCGCCTTGGAATATACTCGCGATTGGTACAGGATCATCTCGCTCCGACAGGCTACGTGAAGATCCCGAATGACTTGCCTGCCTACCTGCGGGGGTGCAAGTTCCTGCCCTTTTTGAACAACGAGCACGAGGGCGCAAGAAATGCGTCGTACGCACGCCAAATGGCATCCCTCAACCGAATGGTCTTAATCATGTTCGAACAGGACCGAGTGATCATTCCCAAAGAAACGGCCTGGTTTGGATGGTATCTTCCGGAAGACGGGATGGAAAATGTTGTGCCCGCAAATGAGACTCGGCTGTACAAGGAGGACTGGATCGGTCTACGGGAGTTAGACGAGGCCGGCCGAGTGGTCTTCGCAGCAGTCCCTGGCGATCACCTGGAGATCTCAGAAGCAGATATTCAGAATCACGTCGTGCCGCACTTGATGATGGATTCATGATCTTGTAACCGCTGGAGACCTTTGCCTTCCCCCTTCGCTTCCATGGGTGAGTTATTCCATCCTCTACGCCCCTGCAGAATCCCCACAAAACTTCATGTCTGTGTGCTATGCTGTGGGCCTCGCCCCACCACTGACCAAATGTGCAAAAGGAGAACACGGAAAGACACACCTCCATAGTTTCCATCCTTTTCACATTTGGTGGGTGGTGGTGCGGCGAGGGCCTACGTACATACGTCTCTTGTCACGTGGGAAAGGACGGGGTGATGATGGGATCAACGGAAGAGCCTTCTATGTTTGAATCTGACTGTTTAAACCACCAGTACGTTTCCCAGCCAACAAAACAAAGCCGCGGAGTGCATGTGGCCACGACTTTCGGGAAGTACCGGTGCGCCATTTTGCTGGATATCCATCCATCCAGGCAAAACGGGCCTCACACACCGGGGCGACATTTCGCTGGATATCCATCCAGCCTGGCAAAACGGGCCTCGCATGCGACCCGTTTTGGAAATGGCGCCCTCGTGCGGCCTGAAAAATGCAGTCGCATGCAAGCTGCGACTTTGTTTTGTTGGCTGGGAAATGTACTGGTGGTTTAAACAGTCTAGAGTCAAACATAGAAGGCTCTTCCCCGTTGATCCCATCACCCTATTTCTATATGTGATTTACGGCTCACTACGACTCCACTTGTCCCTTTGTCTATATTGTGATGTTGAATCCTGAGGCTGTACGTACGGACATTCTTTGCTCGTTTTGCTCGGTGCTTTCTAATGTACTCGGGAAGTTGGGAAACTACCTTAGCGCTTTGTTTCCTTCCAGCTATCGCATTTTCAATGCCATCACATAAAATAAAAAAAAAGTGCTCGGATCAACACTGATCTAGACAACGGTACTGCATTCCGTCGGTCTGCTAAAACCTGCGTTGGGGTACAGCGTCACTTTTGTGTGGGCGCGCTGCAACTGCGTAACTTCAGTTTTTTCTCAGCGATTCCTTCCCCCCCCCTCCCCCTCCCCTTCCCCCCCCCCCTTCCCCCCCTCTCCCCCTCTCCTGTCTCTTATACACATCTAGATGTGTATAAGAGACAGGTACCATACCATGCCTTGGAAAGGGATTGCTGGTAGGTCTGCAGGTTTTGTAGTTTTTCTCTTTCTAAGTTTCTATCCTTGTTGCATGCATGTTTGGGGAGTCGAGTGGAGTCGATCAAGGCTGTTGTGTAGTTTGCGCCGTCAAGTGGAGTTGGTTAAGGCTGTGTGAATTTTGATCTCTTCTGATGAAAGGAGTAGTTGCATTCCATCTGATCATGATGAAAGCAGTTGCCTGATATTTCACTGAAGACTCCAAGAAGGTTCAGGGAATGCTCGTGTGATGTATATGGTCATCGTGCATTTTTCCATTCTCCGTGGTTTCTGTTGTATTTCTGTTTTCTGAGGAAGAGGAAAAATTTCAACGACAGACTTGTTCTCTCTCTTCCTTATTCTTCAAGAAAAAAGTGGAAAGTCCAAAGACGGACAATTGACAGAGATGGGAGTTTGGCTCTGTGACCTTGTTTTCTATGGTGCAGGGCCCATCCCATGTTGAAGACCCTGAGCATCCATCCATTATTTCGTTGAATCTGCTAGCTGGTTGGTCACGGGTGCTTATATCGAAGTGGAATTGCATGCCATGTTGCTCTGCTGAGCTATGTGAAGGGCATTTGCTTGCCGCCAAACACGCCAGTTATCGTCTGATTGGGATTAGACTCTGAAGTCTGGGTTGTTGTTGATGGAGAGATTAGAAGACAGGAATGGAAGCAAAAAGTGAAGTGAAATATGTCCAGGGCGTAGATTGCCTGTGCCCCGGGGGATATGGACTTCATTGGGTGATATCCACTACTTGTCCTCTTTTTCTTTTTTTTTTTACAATGTCCAGGGCCTAGATTGCCTGTTCCCGTGGGATATGGACTTCATTGGGTGATATCCACTATTTGTCCTTTTTTTTCTTTTCCTTTTTTTCTTTTTTAACACGTCCAGGGCGTAGATTGCCTGTGCCCGGGGAATATGGACTTCATTGGAAGATATCCACTTCTTGTCCTTTTTTTTTTTTTTTTTTTTTTTTTTTTGGTTATAAAGCCCCTTCTGCAAAACCTTTATCCTGGTGGCGGTAGGAGAGCCACGGGGATTGAGGCTTTGTCTATCGGGGTGCTCCACCGATTGGTGGGGAGCAACACCTCCAGGAAATGGGGTCCATTGTCTTTGTTATTTCCCGCCCTTGAAGGTTTAGGGTTTTGCGGGAGTGTGTTTTCATCTTTAAAAGCTGGAAATAATGATCGGCGGCCTTAGTCGGAACGCATGCATGGGGGGATGAGGTAAGCGGCAGTGACTTGGTATTTACGACGTTTCCCTTTCGCCAGGTTTCCCTACGGAGATAAAAAAAGTGCCGCACACTACGCTGTGGCTGTAGTACCAGTGGTGTGTCTGGAGTGTGTGTGTGTTTTTTTTTTTTTTTTTTTTTTTTTTTTTTTTTTTTCTGGCTGTGGCAGACACAGACCATTCTTTGTTTTGTTTTGTTTTGGTTTGGTTTGGTGTGTGTGCTGGCATTTGATTGTGTGTGAGCGCACTACAGTCGGTAGAGTCTTCTGTCTGGTGTAGGTGGGTGATTGTCTGATTTGATGTTCGACACATGTACCGTAGAGGGGGGTGGTTGGTGCCCACCTGCACAGCTGGGGTTAATTATGTGGATTAGCACTTAGCAGTATATATATCATGTACTACCCTAAAGGGACCAAGTACCCTAAAAGTACTATGTATAGACTATTTAAGGGTCACCCCTGTGATGAGTTGGTGAAACAACAATACCAACGGAACCGATTGTCATACTCCACTGCTCGTTTCTTGTCCTTGTCTCCCCTTTCTGCCAACCGTTCATTGGGCAGTTCTCTTGGGACGTCAGGCCTTGCCACACCACTCTTGAAAATGAGAAAAAAATGACCGCATCCTCCCACACAAGCTGGCTGGATTCATCCGTTATTACTATTCATAGCGAGGGATGTGTTTTCTCAACTTTTTACGGGAAGACGTACTCACATTCCGTTCCGTTTTGTGAGTAGTGCGGCTAAAGCCCATCGCGCAGGTAACTTGCACGATGGCCCATCGTTGGCCAGTGTCCAGCACGACAGTGTGCTCACGATCACGACGATGTTCCTCTACTTCGATTGACAATTTCGCGAGCCTCTGTGATCTGACTTTGACTAATGCTGCCTGTGTATGTGTTCTGCCACCGGTTTTGTACTTTGTGGGACCGCCGTGCAATTGTCTATTCCCTGCCAGCCTAGGGGCAGAGGAAAGTATCTATACCAGTGAAGGAGGGCTTGCGATTGAGGCACGACCATGTGCAATGAGGTACTGCCAACTTGAAAATTGTCCCATGCTCAGCCCGGTGTACATGGGCTGGTGGTCAGGTACATGACCCCCATTGCGGTCAGGTTCATGACCCCCATTGTTCATGGTGCTGACCACGGGGAACCGTGGGACAGTGGCATCGTATGGTCCGTCCCTCGATCATGTTGCCAATTTCCTCGGCAAGGATGATGTTTTCTGACGTCAGCGAACCATCCGCACACTCTTTTGTGGTGAGGATCACTTCTGCCGCTCTGCCTCAGCAGCAAGATGCGTCAATGCGCTCTGCGACCTTCTCATTCTTCCCTGCACAGCTACGGACACCTTTGCACGCCGCTGCAGGCGTCCCTTGTGTCCGGCAAAATGGATTCAATGCTAGCACTCTCTTTCCTGTTGAGCATCACTTCTGCCTTCATTTGTGTGTGCCGAGGGCTGCCCTTCCTTACCCGACCCTGCGCAGCCGAACCCCATCTGACCACATCCGAACCCCGTCTGACCATATATTGAGGGCAGTGACTTCATAAACACCAAGGCATACGCTTCTGTCATACCCCTTCTTCCTTCCTCCCAGCCTGCAACCGACATGCCGCTTGTCAGGAGCGTCTGGCGCGCATGATTAAACCGCCAGTCCAATGGCCTCTGCACTGTGTAGATTTTTTTTCTTTTTCTTTTTCTTTTTTTTTTTTGTAGATTTTACTCATTTACGAGTACCCAGCCGGCCAAAATATACAATGCCGAGGCCCGGTAGAGGTTCGGTTTGGAACGCTGACCGCGTTCATTTTTCCAACAACGCGTGCTCGCTACACTTTATTAGGGTGGGTGGACCAAATTGCTTGTTTGTGGTTGGTTTGTCGGTTTAGCTTCTCGGATGTTGCGGCGGTTTAAATGCCCGCTGCCGTGGCCAGCTGGCTTGCCCACGGTTGTGCTTGAACTGCTCATGTTCCATTGGTCTCTCTTCCATGCTGCTGGCCACCTCATCCCTCCTAGCATTCTCGTGTCCTCTGTCATTAACACCGGACTGACTCTCAAGTCTTCTCGCGTCCTTCGCTGTGCTCTCATGTTTTGTTCTGCGCTCCCTTGTTTTTTTTTCCCTTCGTCGCTCTTTTGTTATGCTTTCTGCCTTTCCTCTCTCCTTATCCCTCGAGGCTTCTCGCGTCCTTCCCTGTGCTGTCATGTCTAATTCTGCGCTACTTTTACAGTGCCCTTTATTTCATTATATATGGAAGGCAAGTCGGGCTGTTATGGCGCACAGGGTTGTGGGCAGCTCGACTCGAGTTCAAGTAAGTCGGCGCGACGCGCCTTGTGCGTACACGCATGCGAGAGCCTAGAGGCACCGTAAAGGTAGAGCTAAACGAAGAAATAGAAGAGAATAACTGTGGAAAAGGAAATGCAAAACTGGTTTATTAAATAAACAAAAGAAAGAAACAAAGAAAGAACACAGGATAAGGCAAAAGGACGCTTTCGCTCTGCCTCGACCTGTCTGCTTTTTTTTTTTTTTTTTTTTTTTTTCCGTCCTTTGTTTGTTTCTCATAGTGCACGTCTTTTTTCAGTTCACAGATGCGTGACAGCACTATTATGTAGAAGCTCCAGCAGTTCTTCCAACTCTGTCAAGTCTAGTTATTACCAGCGGTTTGAACTTCGAGAGTTAGTTATATGTAATTGTTTGTTTTTCACTGTGTGATTGTTTGTTTTTCACTGTGTGCACAAGAATGTGGAGCAATCGGGCCTCACTCCACTACTCACCGCACACACAAATAAGACAAAAAAAATGTGATGGTGCATCTTTCCATATTCTTCTGGAAGATTCATTCTCATTTTGCACATTTGGTGAGTAGTGCAGCAAAGCCCAATGCCTTCTTCAAAAAAAAAAAAACACAAAAAAAAAAGTGTCCCTCTCACTGTCACTGGTAACTGTTAGTGTATTCTGCACCATTCGTTTATAAAGCTGGTGGGAATGTGAATGGCTTAGGCGAGGGACTGTAATTACAATTACGGCAGGCAATGCGTGCATCTGCCTGTGATTATATTGAAAGTTCAGTTGAAAAAGTCCTACTGTGAGTACGCCCTCAGACTAAACCTCAGCTAACTTGGAAAACCATAAGGTTCATATGGTTTAACTTTGAAAACCATACGGTTTAGAGCCCTCTGGCTTGGATTTGAACCTTGGAAGGTGCGGTTGTCACGAGAAGGAACCAGTAAAAGGGCCTTTACCCGATATAAGCCTCAGGCCTTGTAAAAATAGAGCAGCACGRGCCTTGTAAAAGTAAAGCATTGTGAAAAGGTATCTTGCGTGGGCTCAGGAACGTGAAAACAGGTCAAAAGTCAAGTTCT